TAAGTGTCACCCATGTTTCATTCAAACTTTGTTCGTAATAGCTATAGAAAGTACTGTACAATACTTGATGTTTATGGGATAGTTACAGTGAGAAGGAATTTCCTGTAAAAAGGTAAGTGGCCTGTGCCCTCTGCACCTTTGGCAAAAATAATCACTTGTAAGTTTGTCTGCAGCAAACTTGGGAATATGGTTGGCTTTGGTTTGTTCGATACTAAAATCAGATGTAGCTTTGTGATGTTTTTTACAATAAAACTCTTAAGTATTATAGAAATTCCACATGTAATCGATAAACCTATTTGTTTCAGGAGACACATACAAATTTATCCCAACCCACACGCCTCCCGGAAACTTCCATTTATACCTCTATCATATCGCCGACTCAATTGCGACAGAGATGAAGGTAAAATTCTTATGAATAAGACCAAATACCATGGGGAAAAACAAAAAATTATGGTCAAACAGTTGGGACTGAAACTACAAATTTACTGTTTACATGATATGTTCATTGTAAAATTTAGTGTGAGCATTTTGAGTTTTTCCTACTTCACCATCATTCAGTCCTCCAGTCATCTTCTAATTGCGCGAGTAAATACTTTCGTAAATAATTAGTATTGAAAAGGCTTAAGTATCTCGTTTTAAGTTCTTTATAACTTATATCTTTAGATTCGCACCATTTAAATATTCGATATATTTAAAGTGTCTGATTTTCTTGCAATTGTGACTGTTGAGCTTATGGCATAACACTTTAAATAGGGCTTGATATTTTATGCTTTATGTCCATAGACTTGTTGAGGGCCTAACTGGCAGTCGTGCCTATCGGAGCCACTTTCAAACATTTATACTGGAAATGAAAAGATTCCTGTCGTGATCCCAATTATCCTTTAATAGTGGGTATGTAAACCTTCCCCAGGGTATAACATGATAAAGGAATAAACGTGAATTCACTACAATAACTTCTCCTAAACCTTGAAGTATTGAGTCGTAGTTCAAGTAGTTATGCATTATGGTAATTAAGGGCATGAAGTTCATAGTTTCCTTATCTTGCTTAAATTATAAGAATGGAGAATGGTACTCCAAGAAATTAAGTTATTTAAAATATAAGTATCCAGGCAAACATGATCAAAACACTATACTGTATAAACCTGAAGACGAGTCCAAAGGTAGGATATAAAGAATATGTAACGTACTTTTAAACAACCTATATTACAGCACCGGCAAAAACAATATACTGTACAAGTTACCTTTTCTAATGAATAGGACAGACCAATAACACCTGGATCCCAACCTTGCATGACACAAATTCTAGTACCACATGGAAATAGGAGATATGTCTGTTCACCAACATGTCGGAAATAGCGAGAGAAAACGGTCACACAGCTGGTGAACAACTTGAAGAGCGAGTCCTGCACAGGCGCAGTTTTATAATGTTTACATCACAATTGTTACTAAGTAGAAAGCTTATATACTTCAAACGATAATAATAATAATGATACTAATAATAATCATAATAATAAAGTATTGTAGGGTATAGTTACATATCTAATACTAAGACAAGAAACATACTAACGTAATAATTATAGTATCCAAGCACAACCCTGGGCAGAAAGTATATATATTTTCCTTGGTACTATCGGTATCACAGGTACGTAACATTCCATACAATAATTTTGAAGGTAGTGCACAGAAGGCAAGTCTTCTGGAGTTTATACTCCTCTTTCCAAATGTGATTCGGTTATTATTTTAGTTTCAGTCATCCGGGGAAACGGTTAGGTTAATTTGGATATCTAAGTACAGGGCTGACCGAAACTAAAATTTCACCCTCCTTTTCTGTGGAAATGAGTTTTAAGCCAACCTAACGCTAATGGAAAATAAAAATCAATCTACTCCCTCTACATAGTGTCAAACGGTATATTAACAAGCCCAAGCTGTTGAATCGAGAATAGCACTGGCTTCAAAATAACCCTATACAAAATTTTCAAGAACCATCTTACATAAGGCCACCACCTCTAGTGGGTGGCTATTATTAAGTAAAAATCCAATACGAAGTGACGCGACCATTCTCTTCTAGCTGGCGGCCCCTGTGTAGCTGCGACGAAGGCAGTGAAGGTTATCAGCGTCCACGTTTGTTTAAATTTTAACTCCCCGTCTGAATGGAATTAATACTGATCAATAGTCATGTTAAGTTTGAACAGATTATTTAAAATCAGCATTGCTTCAGCTATCTTGTCCGTGGAAGAGTTCTAACATACTGGTCATTTAACATCTTGCGGTTTAACACAACCTCCAAGAAAATCAATTTAGCTTGATTTACCTGTTGTTATGCTTTATCTTCACTTCCCTGTATAATAATTTAAAGTGACGCCAACCTTGAACTCTTTAAAGAATCTGCTCACATGTGTGCTGATTCAAGACCAGACTTGAGACCCTGGCGCAGCTTTGGAACTTCAGATACACATTCTGTAGTATACCTGTATAGTACATGTCCACAGTGCGTACAAAAAAAAATAAAAAGACGTAACCGATCGCCCAAGCGACTAACAGGGTTATCAGTGGTGGCGAAAGAGGATCACACCGACGTAACCAAATAAAATTGTTTCAAGAGCTCGACGCTTAAATTTAAGGCAAAGAATATAGGGTAGCCGTATGCGAAACGTCGATGTTACTGGTACGGCAGTCTAATGGCGCATGCGTGGTGAGCAGGCTAAACAATGATAGTTACTAAGATGGTCTTCTTTATGACTAACTTAAGCAAACCATTAACAACAGTCCGTCAACACGACTACTGTACCGAAATCCTGTGTGATTTTTGGCGTGAGGCTGCCGTACCTGTATCCACAAAGAAAATTTAAATGTTTGGTAAAGTTCATAATTTAAGGTGCCTTCTCTTTCGTTTTTAATTTTGTTTAACAGTTTTATATAATTTAATCAATTCAGAGCTCTACAAATGTCACAGAGTTGAAGTCGTTGCCGAGAAAATAGAGAATATACTCGGTTCTCGCCGGGGTTTGGCTAAAATAATGGTTAAAGGTGTAGAATGGCGCTAACACCAAACGTTGTTTGTTGATTTTCTTTATTTTTGCTATACTTATATTTTTGATGATTTTAAGTATATTAAAAGAAACAACCACTTTCTCGTGCGATTTTAAGTATTTTTTTTTATTTACTATCCCGCTTCACAATTATCCTCCCGGCGTCATTTTTGTTGTTTACCTCGCTGAATCCCTCTTCGAGACGTTTCCTAAATGATGGTGAACGCTTCCACGAATTCCTCCTTGCCATTGTAGATGTATATCAACCTCAATATTAAGGGAAGTTGTTTAACACATAAATTAACAAGATAATGCATAGAACCTAATAAAACCGGACCTAACATACCCAACCTATGGGTATTCAGATTCTATTAGGTTGTATGTATTTTCGTTTCCATTTGTTAAATATGCTATTAGTGCGTAAATTTTTTTTAACCAAATTAACAGACAACTTCTGGTGTTAGCGCTATTCTACTCCTTTACCAAAATAATTAAATGTTCGTCAGTACTGCTTACCGTTAATATCCATTTGCACTTTCATACACCCGTTTTGCCGTGGGTATTTTTCCCAGTGTTTCTACAAGGAAATTTATTTTCACTATGTGGGTCAGTCTTAATAACCAGGCATGATTTGTTTACCCAATCAATCAGACATTGAAGGGCAGCATGTCGACCAATGGCTAGGGGACCACAACTCCAACATTTCTGACTAAACTTAATATCCCATTGCCAAATACTGTTACACTCTGAAATACATCATGAAATGTATAGACCATTAACAAATATACTGTTAACTTACTTAATATATGATATATAATCGAAAAAGCAGCAGATTGTAGACCTCGACTGGTCAACACGTCCACCTCCTCTTGTCTCCCGTAAGGAACTGACATCTGTCATATGTGGTTCAAAATTTAAATTAAACAAAAATATATATATTAAGAATGATAAATTTTGATATTCAAAAATAACTTCAAAATGAAACTAATAAATCTTCATTTTACCTAGAATTATTCATGTACTAAGGATCTCTTGAGGAACTACTTTTTTTTATTAATTATTAGTAACTTGTTGGCTCGGGTTAGTTTAGTTTAACTACGTCCTTTGAATATTAAAATAATCCAATTAATTCATATATTAACTAAAAAATATTGCTAATTGTGGTAAAAAAAACACCCGAGAGGACAAATGAAAGATGTATTTTCGTTCTTGTAAAGGTTTTGAGGTATAGACAGAGCCTTGACCAGATAACTCTATATAGCCAACTCTCCCCCTAATAAAACCAATCTCTTTAGCACCTTATTTTCCTCTATCTCCAACTTAGACGATTCCACCTTTACCCCTCCTAATGAACCTATGCACTTAACTATAATCTCCACTCGTAGGGTTGCCGGTGTGTTATCCAGGTTGGAAGCGAGTAAGGCACATGGACCGGCCGGGATACCCCTTCGTGTTCTGAGGGTGTGGGTGAAATTCTGGCCCTTATGCTTGCTCGCCTCTTTCGCCTTTGCCTCAAAACCCAAACTTTTCCTTCTTCGAAACATGCCTCGGTTCAGTCCATCCTGAAGAAGGGTGACCATTCTAATTCCTCTTACTATCGCCCCATTACCATAACTTCTTCCTTCTCTAAGATTTTCGAAAGTATCTTAAACTCTCATTTTCTCCGTCACCTTGAATGCCTTTCTCTTTTGTCGGATTACCAGTGAGTGCTTCTATTTTAGAGTAAAATACCCTTAACTGGGGTAATAAAACACCCTTTAGGATAGTATTTAGGGTAATGCACATTCTAGGGTAATCAAGGTCTCGTTTTATTTAATTTCCAAATATTTTACAATATATGTTTTAATCTAAAGTCATGTCGCACTCGCGAGAGGCAGCACCATTCAAGGGACTCCGAACGAGCGGGTATTCCCAAGAATTCAATGCTAACGAAACGGTCCTCATGAGAACACCACCAAACCAAAAACTGTCTGTACTTACGGCATTTGCCATGTAGAAGTAATAGCACCATATTTTTATGCCCGAAGACTCCCTGAAAGTCACGAACTCTACACCTATATACCAACAACACCCAGCCTACGTAGGACTTACCAACCGAAACTTGAGAATTCACCACAAAGGGACGAACTTATTCGCTCCAGTCTCATCGAAAATTTACCAGAATTTCGGTTCCTATCAGATGCTACAGGAGTTCAGCCTAGCCCATATAAGTGAGTCGGTAGTTTGTGTTTATCTCGTCAGTTGTTTTCCCAGTTGATAAGGATGATAAATATATGCTGGATTTATTTCTTCACAAGTACGGTACTGTATTTTGTTTATGGGTGAATGAAAGCAAATATGTCTGTGCTCAGGTAGTGTGGGTTCCTATTAAATGTAATTAATTTAAAAAATATTTTCTCTACAGGAATCGAAACACCAAGAAAACGAGAAGGTGGTCCAACATCCTCTGTACCAAAAGCAATAAGATATGATAATGTAAACCACTTTCTTCAGGAGTTTTCACAAGGTAGATGCTATGTATGCAAGAAAAACACACGTCTGAAGTGCATCAAGTGCGAGAAAAGACTTCACAAGGCGTGCAGTATCAACTTCCAAAAGAAATGATTGTCAAACTACTTTTCAGAATTTGAATGTAATTGCTTATTTTGATAATACTGATTATATATATATATATATATATATATATATATATATATATATATATATATATATATATATATATATATATATATATATATATATATGATAATATCATGAATGTACTCCGGAAGTGTCCAACGTTCCCATTTTGGGAACATACTCAAAATACAAAAATAAACCCAGAAAGGGAAAAAAGAGAGTTTTATTTTCATTCAGTGGACTCATACGAAATACTTCCGAAAGTTGTGGCTCTATACCTAAACTTTATAAGGCTACGGTCACTAAAGGGTTAAGTACAAGAATACTATCTTATTCTTTCCTAACAACAAAGAAATGTAAAATAAAAAAAATAAAAAAGCCACACTTTTAAAAATACAGGTATACGAAACAGAACACAACTATCAAATGCCCACCATTCCGCCAAGAGCATCAATCAGTTCTGCCACTTGGGGTCCGACTAATTACCCAAATGTAGCCAAATATAGCCGGAATGAAGTCAAATAATGGTCCTACATGAATAAATCGGACTGCCAATCACTTCTCGACTAGTATTTGGTGTCAGAAAGTAAAAAAAAATTGGAAAACTTACTTTAATCTGAGTTAATAGATCGAGTGCATGTACCTAACCTAACCTAACCTAACCTAATCTAACCTAACCTAACCTAACCAAACCTAACCTAACCTAACCTAACCTCGACTAGTATTTGGTGTCACGAAGTCACAAAAAATTGGTAAACTTAATTTAATCTGAGTTAATAGATCAAGTGCATGTACCTAACCTAATCTAATCTAACCTAACCTAACCTAACACAACACAACTCAGATTAAATTAAGTTTGCCAATTTTTTTTTACTTTATGACACCAAATAATAATCGAGAAGTGATTCACAGCCCGAATTACGCTTGTACGACCATCATTTGACTTTATTGCGGCTATATTTGGCTACATTTGGGTACATTTGGGTAATTAGTCGGACCGGCCACTTGTAAGCGTGGGGCCGTATACACACACTATGTTACATAACACCAGTAACTAGTCCTGAATCCTGATCACCTTCAATCCTGTCCTTAGTCGGTTGACTTAGTGGCTGTACCCAGCTCACTTGTTCACAACGTTTCCATATACTACAGTAGGTGTTATTATGATTATGCTGCGAATTTGTGTTAATAAGAGTACCACAAAATATTAAAATTTGTAAAAAAAAATTACATATGGGTGAATGACAATCTAACAGTGGAAGCTAATGTACTTTATAACTGTCAGTGGTGCATGCTTATGTGGACAGGGCTTAATCCAACCTTAATCTACACATAGAACAACTATTTTTATTCTGAATCACACTATACAGCTTGAAAAAGTTAACTCGGTGATGAACCGTCAGAAGTTTCCTGGAGCATCATTTGAACTCTGCTACTTTCCCCCCATGTTATCATTGTGGCCTATAGTCGGTTTTATTCCGTCAGGCGTAAAAATCCACAGCTGACATTAAAAATCCACAACTGACATCGCCACTCGGGGTCTAATATAACCAAAATATATAACCAATATATTATAACCAAAAGCCACCATATCCTAAGTAGGATATGGTGGCTTTTGGTTATACAGTCTCTCCTCGACTTACGACGGGGTTCCGTCCCGACAACCAAGTCGTAAGTCGAAAAGGCGAAAATATTACATAGAAATTCTAATATGGGTGTCTCTTTTTCTTCTCAGTACCACGAGAACTCTCACTCTTACACTTGCCAGCCATTTTAAGGGGAATTGCAAACAAAAATTTTGTCAGTACACAGCGCGACCACTAACGTCGGTACTAGAAAATACTTAATTTGAAAAATATTTTATATGACCACGGCAGTCGTATGTCCGGGTTGTCGTTAGTCGAGTATGTCGTAAGTCGAGGAGTACCTGTATATAGAACTAAGTTTGTGTTGGTACTCACCAATGGGCGGAGGTGGTAGAGCGAGTGGGTAGTGGAGTGGAGGAGGATGGCGGGAGCGGAGGAGGAGGTCGGGAGCGGAGGAGGGCAGGAGAGGCGGAGGGTGGTAAGTCACCGAGACTCTGCGGCTGCCTCCTCTTCCTGCTCTGGCTGGGGTTCCTCCCCCGCTGCTTGCTCCTCCTCCTCCGTTGTTGGCGGGAATGTCTCTGCAGTACCCATATCTGAACTGGCAGCTTCACCAGTCATCTTTATGTTGTGGAAGTTATACGGACGCTTAAATCGTTGAAACCAGCCTCGGCTGGCCGCAAAGGTCTCTTCTTTCGATCCTTCACCCTCTGTTTCCTTCATGTCATCAAACAAGGATCTGGCCTTATGCTGGATAACCATAAGGCTCACAGGGGCATTGAGTTGATTCTGGTCCTCCACCCACATTGCCAGCATCTTTTCCACCTTCTCTATCACAGTGCTTCTAGCACGAGTCGTCTTAGTAGCACTCGGAGAAAAACCACTACCAGCACTAACCTTAATCTTGTCAGCGTTGGTCCGGATAGTACGCACCGTTGTGGGAGTTAGACCAAGCACAGCAGCTATGTCCACAGCACGTTCCCCTTTTTCAAATCGGGCTAATACATCCATTTTCATAGTAAGGGTAATGGTCTTGCGTTGCCTCTTCACTACACTAGGATCAGTAGCGCTTGATGGGCGCTTGGAAGCCATTTCGAATGGTTAGAGAACAGTTTTAGAGTAAAAGCACTTAAGCACTGGCTTGGTGATGCCGTGATGTTTCGCGAGTGCGGGCAGCGCGCCGAGCCAAGAGAGCGTAGTGCGGCCAGACAAGAGTGGGTGATGCACCGTAGAGAGTAGTCCGTGATGACACAAAACGACGTAGTATCGGGTCACCAGGACGTTAAATGAATTTTTGGTCTCTAAAGTTCAGCAACGTAGTACCGAAACAATGTTAAGCGGGACGACGTTAAGCGGGGACTTACTGTAGGAATTGGTAAGTTACAAGCTAGTTGCCCGAGTAAAGTTCAATGAATATTTTTTTCTATGGTAGGATTCTTTGTGTAGTTCTTTCACATAGGTCAAGTCTGTCATTTCCACTTTCCCTGATTCTTCAGTTTTTGAAGATGTGTGAATATTTTAAATTATTGGTTATCAAATTTATTACCTGAGGAAAAGAGGCCAGTGTATGATCCCTCCATTGTTCTTGATAATTTTGTCTCTGGCTCTTTTGAGGCCAATTATTGTTCTTGATTCTACAGCTTGAGCTGGTAGACCATTCAATCGGTCTATCACCCTCTGTGTGATTCAGTATTTTATGTTTGTTCTGCCTGATAACTTTGTAAGCTTGTAGTTATGCCCCTCACATTGGTAGTGTGTGACATCACAAAGAAATGGCCAGGGTTCATGTTTTCCATTTCAATGTACAGGTAGTACTGTCTAGTGCTGTACTACTATACTGTATAATTCAGATTCCGAATTTCTATCAAACTTCTTTGTCTGGTAAATAAATAAAAATCAAAGTACAGGTATTTTATTTATTATAATTGTAAATGCTCAGAAAATAAGCCAAAATGACAAAGAAAACAAAATTATTTACAAAATAAAGTAGAAAAAATATATAAGATGTCAGTCAGAAAAACTCTAGTTCAGATACAGCACATTGTGGAGAATTTATCAACTGACACTGTGGCACAGATAGGATGTTTGTATTACAATTGCAACTGCATATAAATTATTGGCATGTCAAACTATATGCAACATGTAGGTATTGACTTGTAAACAGGACTTGTGTCTCTACATAATATTATATAAAATATTAATACAAAAAATATTTACAAAATACAAGGTACTTTTGGTATGTCATGCAAAAAAAATCACTGAACACCTTTTAACAGCAGTCAGAAACAAGACAACCAAATATGACACCATATTTTCCAAAAACATGTTCTTAAATTCCCATTTACAGTGATGATATTTTTATACTAAATTCATCTTGGCAGATGTTTTCATATTTAAAATATACAGAATTTATTTCACATAAATGGTAACATTTCTGGCAAATACAGTGTGCTAACAGGAGTGTGAAGAAGGGTTTTGCTGGTCATGTGAGAGTAAATGCCTTACACATCACTTGTGCTCAGACTGTCAGATACAAACTAAGCATTTGGAGAATGTTCTCTTGACAAAACTGTTCAACCATATTGCATTAAAACACCATATCAAAGAGGAACAATATGAAGTCCAAACTAGCAGTGTAGCACCATTTTTCACTACAGTCCGACAACAGCAATTCACTTAATGAATTGTGACGTCTCAAAATTCTATGTAACTTTTCCATAAGAATTGTCCAAAAACTTTTAACTACATCACACTACATGGTGCTACATGGAAGACTGAATGCCAGACTTCAAGTCAAGAAAATAGTGAAGAAAACATCAAGACCATAAACTGACCTAATGGCATCAAGAGCAGGTACCAAATGACGTGTGAAGAGATAATGGTCTAATCAAGTGTTCAAGTCAGGGTTATATGATAAGGTTATTTGGCATCACTACTCTACATTCAAAAAGCAGACTTAGCAAATCAAGCATTGGTGGGTCTTGCTATGACATATTGGTGCTAAAAATATATTTAACATAGTATTATTGCCAAGCTATTTACAAGTTGATATCATTAATATAATAACAGCTATAGTCTTTGTACATATGAGCTATCAATAAATACAGAGTAATCCTAACGACTTGGTCAGCACAGCCTCTCAGTCAGGCTGTAAACTCCTCTCACTAAACCTGGAAGGATAAATAAACTTTGTTACTAAAATAATTAATAATTATGAATTTTTTTTTAAATTTTGGTTTCTATGGAAATCAAGTGGTTTTCCAACCTTACCAAGTTCACAAATATAATTTTGAACAATCTCCAGTTGTTCTACCCCAATACAGTGTATTATTGTTAACTTTTGCATATGCGTATCAATGGTTCTGGAATACATACTATAATTGGGTTTTTACCACTGGTTACATGGATACTAAGTACATTACAGTACTGTAGTCACCCTGGCGGCTGCCCAAAGAGAAATTTTAACAAAACTTGTCATTGAATATTAAAACCAAGTATGAAAAATAATTCAACTTACCGATTCAGAAGACAGATGGAAGAACAAACAAGCTTAATCATGCTGGGTAATTAAAGAATATACAGTACACAACCTGTATTGAGTTAATATATCTACATACCTCAGTAGTAAGAAGTGTTTTAGCTGAAGAGTCCTTTGCAATGGCTGGCACAGATGGTGCTTCATAAATTATATCTGTGGGTCTTATAGGAGAGACTGTGGTGAGGGAAGGTGAAAAGGGTGCAACAGGGGAAACTGGTGAAGTAGATGAAACTGGAGAGAGAGCGGAATCCACCGAGACGGTCGTCACTGTGGAATTAGACCTCTCAACCCGTCGATAGGACTGTGCATCGTCATCACCACCAGAATACATGTCGGCAAGAATTCCACTTTCTGTAAATATAAATGGCAACTTTGATAGACCATTATATTTATATTAAAATACAACCATAAACATATTTCCTTTACTGGTTACACTTTCCTGTACTGAATAAGGGAACAATCTCCCTTGTATGAGGAGAATAGAGTATATTACAGTACAGTACTAGACTGATAAAACACCAAAGACTATACAGGTGTTGATTGTTATAGGTTTGATCAGTTTTACTATACAATGGCTGAGATCAGAATTATGATATCTGTTACCCAAATGCTTTTCCTGCATTGTCATTGCTAAGAAAAAGTGATGTGCAATAACTCGCAATATTCCGAGATATGACGACACAATCTTGGAATGGCGCAACATGTGTGACCTATGCGGGATATGTGGGAGGCACTGCCCCTTCCCTGGTACCTGCCAGGCTGAGCAGTTGTACTGTCGCACATCGCCCAGAGGATGACATATATCTACCCGAAATTGCAAGTTGAAAAATAATAACACAGCTCACAGCTTGACTGGAGGCTTAGATACTACCAATTCCTCACCCCATTTCTGCTCCCACAATCCACACTCACTCATGGGGACGTAACAGAATTTTAAGAAAAGTACATATGTCCACCCAAAATTACTTTAGTGACAGCTGAGAGATCACTAACTATTGTACACATACATACGTATCATGTAAGGGAAATGAAAAAAATCCTTATTTTGTATAAATTTACTGATTTTGTCTACTTTGAAATTTATTGATTTTATGTCTACTGTATTTAGAAATTATTTCAGTTATTTACACATTATTTAATTAATATTCCAGCAAGATAGAAAACTTGTTTGGGTTCTTTAGGGGCTCAGAAATGAACCTAGTTTTCCCCTTAAGTTATTATATTGATATACACTGTACAACTTATCAGACAGTGATGGCTTTTTGAGGTCCATAACCCCATCGTATAATGGTCATTGCCTGTACAGTATATCCGAAATCCCACAAATATCACTGTGCTGTATACATCAACAGGTATGATACATCAAATACACCAACCTACCTGCAGAACACTGACTGGTACGAGTCACAGAACGATGAAGGGCTCTTGGTGAATCTCCTGGTTCAAACCCCAAGTTGAGAGTCCCAACATAAGTTGGACAGACAGTTGAAGAATGTGATGATGAGGCAGAAGATGCAGATGAAGAGGCTGATGAAGAACTGACAGAAATTATTGAGTGAGGTCTCTTTCCTCCTGCACCATTCAAGTCGCCAACAGCAGATACTGAACCAGTCCGAAGACGGGGAGCTGGAAACAAACACGATAATTAAATCTTCATTTTTGAATTAAATATTAAAATTCTGTTCTTTGAATATCCTCTGTACTGTACTGCTGTATTTTCACCATCTATTATTTACTGTCAATGTCTGATTATTACAAAAGCTGACTATCTTCTATGAAATAGAAACAAGCACAGTACTGTACAGCATTAGAAAATTTACTGAAAGGATTATATGAGTACAACAAACCTTTATTCAACTGGTTGATGCTGATGGACCTGTCACTGATCTGGTCTTCACTTGGTCGTATGTCTAGACATGGTTTGTTACCAATGCCCATCGATGACATCTCGTGCAACCTCATAGTTCTATTGCGAAGTGCCTGGCGCCACAGTAATTTGGATATTTCTTCTGTCCAAGACTCTTTCATCTCTGTATTAGGAGCTTGAAGGAGGTAAGTGTCTGATGGTTTCCTCTTGCGGAACCATATTTCAAATTTAGTGGTGCTAATGCCAACTTGCTCTGTTAAGCCAATGTCAGTCATTTTCATGCTATGCTTGTACTGAAATATATCCAGTGTCTGAAAGATAGAAAGGAAGAATCAGATAACATACTGTGCACAAAACATGGACTGTTCATTAAATATTTTACTGTAATTATATCTACTTATATATGACATTATTCAGTGTCCTTATGATTTATGTATGACCCTGGGGTGATGTCATATATGAATATACCTTTTCACTGTTACATGTATTTCTTCCAAACAAGACAAAAAATCAATATAACAACTCAACAATACCTTCCTTTCTGGATCTCGTCTTGCCTTACTGAAGAGAATTAGATCTTCAAACAAGAATACATGTCTAATGGACTTCTTGGCTCTACTTCCTTCCCATACCATAAACTCTCCTTGCCTCAGCAATCGGCCTTGTTCCTTAAGGTTCACCTGGAATATATATAAAGTATAAAGTACTGTATAATAAAATCTTGGATATTGAATAACCTGCAAGGTTTATCTCTGGCAGAAATATTTGCACATATCTAGATGTGCACATTGCATACTTTCTGCCTGCACACTGTTCTCTAATATATGCATGGTGAATGTGATGACTATTAATATTAAACAAAACTCCAGATAAAATTAAATACAACATACATCACAATCCCTCAAGGAATCCATGGCAAGGAGGTCATTGCCATGACGAAGTTGAAATTGAACCATCTCTTGAGCACCTTGAAGGTCATCATAGTTCTCTTCTCCACGACCACATTCCTTCAGCAACTGAGACACAAGTTTTTTTATCAAACAATATACAGTAATATGGTATTGAAGTATTTAAAATAAAATAAAAATGCACATATTACTATCTAGCTCTGAAATGCAATAAATACATGGAATAACCATTTCACTTTAAACAGCAAATAAAAGAGAAAAGCAAAAAAAAATATGGCATGATTCGACTGGCTTCAGCCCGGTCACAGTTAAAATAATATCAACACGGAAAATTTATCAATTTGTGTAAATGATACAACGTGCTGAATGTTTACAGCACCCTACAGAGTTCATGCTTACCTGAAGAGAGGGATGTAAATATAGAAGACTCAGACACTTTCATGTAATTATGTAGTACATAACAATTAACTAGGGCAAGTAATAAAGAGGATCAGCTCCTTTCACTGCAAGTTTATAATATACAAACTGCTAATATTTTGTTTTCATTAAGTGGACTACACTAAGAACCCAGTACAGGTAGTTATTGCCACTCGCTCTATAAAACATCTTTGTTACAATAACAAACCTGTTTAAGAATAAGAGCATATTTCCCCATTCGCTGCACAGGTTTCAATAGGTAAGAGGCAAGGTCCATTCGGTCTTCCAATTCCAGTTGCTTTTTTCGAAAGAATGAAGACCCATACTCAGACATTAATGAATCTGACTTTGGCTTGTTCTTGTTGTAGAGAGCATAGAGGTGAAATTGACTCTCCTGCAAAGTAAAAAATCATATACAGTATTATTAATGGAAACAAGTCTCATTATTCTACTTATATACTCTTTTGAATTAGTATCTACTAACCTCTTTCACACACACACACTAAAAAGCTTTTCCACATACACACAGTATATAGGCGCATACATTTACAGGATGAATACAGGGAATTGTACTATACAGTATAGTAAAGCAAAACACATAACATCCTAAACATGTAGTACAGTAGTAACAAAATAGCTCCTGTATTATATCATGATTGTATTATCAACTTCATGTGTGTTTATACTTACATATCTCAGGAATATAGAACCAACTGCAAAAGGTCGCATCTCACAAGCTTCAAGAGCACGTAGAAAATATCCTGAGTGAAATTCATATATCTTTTCGATGTTGCCAAAGACAACATTGCGCTGACCCCTCAGGGCTTGTGGTATATCTTCTCTCATCAGTTCAGGGATATAATTCTAAAATAGAATGAAAATAACAAAATAAAGAAAAATACTAAAAGTATTCAACAGGATTAATAATAGTGGAGCACTGATTTATATATTACATCATGATACCGTCACTCACTTTTACAAGATCTGTATTTTGATTACAGGCTAACACTTACCTCAATAATATATTCAAGGGAATTTACATAATCCCTCTCTGTCTGAATCAGTTCCCTCATTATCAGCAAAAGTGTCCTAAAAAAGAGAAGGAAAAATTAAATACTGTACTTAGCATTGCCAATCCTCTCCCCTCGAGATGTGAACCCTGAACTCTGAAATGTGAATTCGCTAATAAGCTGAAGAGAGAGGTGAGGGGTGTGTCAGTGTAGGTGTCTTTCTGTGTGTGGGGGGGGAAGATGGGCTACTGGGATTGAGGAAGGAAAGTGTGTATCAGTTGGGAGAGATAATAATGCAGGATAACACTTTGACAATACAGTTATGATGGGGTTTCCTCAGCGGACTGTAATCTTCTACCACTAGCCAGATGAAAATACTAAAGCTACAATAGGATGAGAAGGAGGATGAATTCATGTTCTAAAGTGTTGCTTTGCAATAGGTGGCATTTATGAGCAGATGGATTATGATTATGTTCGAATCTATATCTTGTAAAAGCAACGAAGTTTTGTTTAACCCCTTAACAATGAGATGGACTTCCCCAGCTGAATAAAATCGTTTGGCGCTAGCCAGAATAAAATAGAAAAGAAGACATCGTACTGAAGGGATTAATTACCAATCTAAACAATCAAGAAGTGGGCACCACACATTTCTTGTAATATAAACTTGATGTGAACAGAAATAGTTCGGTTGACAGCTGTCCGGTATAGAATCAGCAAACCACATAAGAGTACAGTAGTTCAGTTGTGCCAAACAGCGAGGTAAAATGGGTAAAAAAAAATTACTTTATTAGTAATAGTTGTAAGGTCGATGAAGGCCATGTACAGGTCACAGTGCTGTTTCCTCATTTTTCCTGTATATGATGGAATGGTGGGCAGCAAAGATTGGACTTCCATAAGTTGGAAACCCCTATTAGTCGGACTAGGGTCTGTGGGTCTACCATCACTCACCCTATACAATACCTCAGAGTCAGAATTGGTGGTAACCCCCAATCTGCCACCTCACATCCTCGATTCCAACAGTGATTAAACCAAGAATAAATGCTAGTTTTAAGTGTAACTGTACAAATAAACATAAGTGAAAATAAATACCTGTACATACAATATATATCAAAGTCTATATCTCTACATCAGTACATGTAATAACAGTATAGCTAAGAGTTTGTTCCCATGGAGAGTCGGGCCCTCAGCCTCATCAAAATATAATGGGAAATTACTTAGAAAATAATGAACATCGAACCCTTAAGAGATGTTGTTGAGGTGTATCTATATACAGTACAGTACTAGGTTTGGTTACCCTCTACTGGTATATGTTCAAGGTATCTGTACTATACAGTATTATGTTACACAAAGACACACAACTATGACAACCTAGGTCTACGAGTTCCGTAAGTTCTTTCACAATCTGTGAATGTGAGCAAAAAATAACCTTTATTATTACCTCGCTACTTATTTATGCATTTTGATATGCATACAGAAGCAACACCTTCTCCAAATACTGTGGACACCTCCACCTTCTTCATTGGTCTCAACATCAAACCAGTGTACTAAAGAGAGATCATTACTGGAAGATTAAAGGAGTTAGAACTTACTTGCTCTTCTTAACTTCTTCTTGTGACAAGTCGTCAGTGTTGATTGACAGGTTGAGCTGTGAGCCACGGATTAGTAAATGAGAATTGACAGCAGAGGACGGAGGTATACTCTTATGGCTTGTTGGAGAAAGATGTACCCCATCATCCATCCTATGAATTAAATGGAAATATTGGTTAATCATTTAATAATGTACAGTAGGTTTAAAAGTTTGATGTGTTAAAAGACAAATTTCTCACTCACACTACCAGGGTAGAGTGAGTAAGATAGTCAGTATTATCTGTGTGTGTGTAGCTAGCTGGCTCTCTAATCATTGTATACATACGTATGTTGATAGCAAAACTTGAAAATGGAAGTTCAGAACTGGCACAACATATAGAGGGATCAAAGTAAACCTCTGAGGTGACAAATTCTCTGGATTAAAATACTGTAAAATATATGTAAACACAATTTTTTAACAATACGAGTCGGTACTATGAATGCCTTTCCTGACTGAGGGGAAAAATTCTGGTGTCAGTCACCCTCGTACAGCACCAGCTCCTCACTGCTCTCTTGGTTTGCACTCGCCAAATATCCTCAACACAGCTCACACTTACTGACACTCAGACTACCTTTAAATGCATACTGTTTCTGGTTAATCCAGCATGTCACCCTGAACTTAACCATATACAATGAATGGACATATATTCTGAATATCTAAGCACAGTATAATCATTTCAGATCTTCTGATGAATTTTTCACATAACTGCTTTTCAATAGTTTTATCTCTTTTATAGCATTATGAAAGATCGGCCAATTTAGTTAACTAAATTTATGCTGCTGGAGTCATATCAATTTTTTTTTTGTGAATTATAACATGATAATTTTTACAAAAACAATGACACAAGAATATCTTCTGAACAAAATATATGATTGATTAATTTAACCTTCATGTCATGATGATCAGACACAAATAACACGAAGACAAATACTATAAAATACAGTACTACTGTACACTGTACCCTGAATTCTCATCGGTGTGTTCTTTAGGTATGAGACCAAATTGCCAGGTATTGGCTCTTTTCATTAATTTCTTATTGATGGTGACAGGTCCAGAGCTCTCACTGGAGGAGCAGGAGCTGCTACCACAGGTACCACTGGAACCAGATGATGAGGTTGTGGCTCCTGAAGTAGGAGAGGTAAACTTGGTGGAGGAGGAGGGCAGTGTGGATGACTGCTGCTGTAGATCCTCAGCACTCTCGCGAACCTCCTTGATGCCCCCCAAGCTAGTGCGGGGCTCTAGCGGCATCTTGGCAGGCGGTGGAGGAGGTGGAGGGTCGAGGAACACAGAATCATCATCTGTGTCAAGTGATGGACACCGTGACAATGAATCCCGAGGTCGTGACCCAACTGACGACACAGACCTTCGCCGACCAGAAGCATTCAGAGGTGAACAAGCGAGCCAAGCCAATGGAGACATTTCTTCTCCACCTCCAAACACCTCACCCAAGTCCACGAAACTCTGACAATCAAACTCCATTTGCCGTTTTGCTTTTAGAAGTGCTGCTTGACGGTTATGAAGAAGCTCATTTGTTTCCTGACATCGAACCAGAGCCATCTGTTGAAAAAAATCATATGAAATTTTTCCACTACTGTATAAAAAAAAATAATCCATGAGTAATCAGATGTTGAAATATCCTGCAACGTGCAATAAGTAAATACCTTGCACTGTTGGAGGAGTGTGTGGTTGTTAAGTCGTGTGGCGAGGGTGGTCATGGCAGTGAAAGTATCATCAGGTATAGGCGGGTGTTCCTCCATGTAGGCCGTGAGGGTGCGGGCCGCAGCGCCCACTTGTTCGGGAGACGCTAACCCTTCACCCTTCACACGGCCCACAACCTTCATGGCCTCCAGGGCCCACTCATATGCCTGTAAATGGACAATATTGTTTTATTTTTATTTTTTTCATTAGTATAACCTGCTTCACTGAGATTGTTTCATCTTAAAGTTATTTTTTCGATATGGTCACATATATACCGTACAGTATATAGTATTTAAATTTGTTGTGGGCAAATGTTTTAATCTGATTTGTGCAAGCAACTCCTGGAAAATTTTACTTTTAAAGATAATTGCATTAGAGTACAAAATAATCGTAATAGTAAAAAAAAATCCATACAAGAAATTTTTAGGCCTAGGAACCTATTCTAATAGATAGAAAGAGCATCTAACTATCTGTTCCAAGGGAAGCCAAGAACATTTTACGCATCACACCTAAATAAAAATATGATGGAAATGTAAACTTTGGCACGGGAGGGGATGGGGACTGAACGCCGTGGGTTCTAGCAACTACCAGTCAGCAGCAGTGGTGCGGAAGTGGATTGAGAAAGTGGATGAGGCAGTAATGGTGTGCATGATGGTGGTGTAGTGGACGTCTCCCCTACAGCTGCCTGCAACGCACAGCCACCTACTGCTACCGCATTCCGCGTGCCGTCTCCTAGCAATAGCGAGAGCTGACGCCAGATGGTACGGTTGCTTAGCAACGAAACTAGTCACCGGCGACTTTCTGGGTTTTCCCAACATGATTCATAGAGGACTGGCGGCTGCTGCTGGGTATATAAGCTCTGTCTCTCCATTGAGATTGATTCTGACCATTCTTCTTGAACAAGCAACACCTCCTCCTCCGCCGCTGCCTGGCTGCCTTCGCTTCTCCTCGCCTGCCTGGCGGTCCTCGCTCCCGCCAGCGAGCATGGCGACCCACCAGCTGTCCTTCTCTGAGCTTCCTCACCAACCAACTCTCATTCTGCCCATCTTCCTGAACAAGCAACACCTCCTCCAGCAAGCTCCACGCTGTCAGCATTCATTCAACCAGGAGGCCAGCAACAGGCAACATCTTCTCTAACGAAGCTCCTGCACATCTACCTCCTTCAACACGCTACTCACCGAACGTCTCTACTGAGCAGCCCCTCACCACACAGCACCTCCAGCACCAGACTGTCTATCATATAACTTATATTATACAAGAAAACCACATTAGAGTTTCCTTCCATCCTGAGTGCTAGACAACATTAATATCTCGATACCCCTACAGTGGACACCAACTCGGCACCATACCAACGCTAACTACCCCCCACTACCTATACAGCCGCCACCACCCATTCCAAAAATAAATAATTTTTTAACAGCTCAAACCAACCCCCATATCAAATGAAAATCTAGCAATGATTTTCAAATGCAAATTCTACTAGCAGATTCAGATTATTACGGTTAACTTGTGGAACTAATAGTCGGACTGGAGATTTGTCACACCGGCACATCAGAATTTTGGATCACATGAAGATTAGACACCCCACCTTATTTCACCTCAGATGAAATAAGTAAGGGTGACTAATTTTCAAGTGATCCATTTTTTAGAACCATCTGAATCACTCGCCCAAGGTAAATATTTCTTCTTACTTTTTTAAAGATAATTTTCATCAATATAAATATTCTGACACGAAGTTTTCAGTAAATAAACGTCGCTATCCAATTTCCGGACTTTTAACTAGTATCGAAGTCATTGTAATTCCTGTAATGATTTTAATGTCTCTGAATATTCCATAAAGTCACAACCAACCAATAACAACCATAAAAACACATGGGAAGGGCAAACAAGTGGGTGGGCTCAACAAAAGAGGTGCACGTGGCCAAAGAGCTCGACGCCCTGCTGGAACAAAAGACCTGGAGCCTCTCATCCCCTGACGAACACTCACGTTTAGGTAGAGGAGGGGGATCATGGCGAGCGTTCCCCAACCCCCAGCTGTTTCTTACACGCCCCATTCATTATCTAATGATATCATAAGTGTGTGGGTGGATGGCTATTCTTTATCCTTTTATATGAAGGTGCACCAATCAGCAGTCACTTTGTCCACAGACAGCTGCACCGAACCGCTCTCCAACTTTGTTCCAATACAAGGGTTTGTCAACAGAATACAACTTCCATTATGTCGTAGAAAAAAAATATGGCACCAGTGATCCACGGAACGTGTGAAGTTATAAATCAGCAGCAACAACAAGAGCGGAGCTGGGTCTCCTCTCAGAGTACCGATAGCTCAAGTGGTGCGGTTCTATACTGACAATGCGCCTAGCAATTCTTAGAACAGGAAAAAGTGAGTGGAGGCGGCCAGCTCGTTGTAATGGGTGCATGTCCATCTAATACTCTAACACATCCACACACTTTACACAGTTACACCCCCTCATATACACATCACAAGTCACTCCCCTCCTCAGGGCCGGATTCAGGAGTGGGCAAAGTGGGCAGCTGCCCAGGGGCCTCCACATATTACAATATTTTATTTATTTGTTTATTCATTTGGATTATTTTTATTTTAATTCTTTAAAATTCATGTTTATCTATTCTATCACGTAAAACTATGTTCAAATTTCAAAATTTTCCTGGGGGGCAAGTAAATCACTATACAGTAGGTGCGCGTGATCCGTGATCCAGGTATATGTTATCTGTAAATGTTGAGTATTTACTTATTTACACTGTGTGGTGAATGTCGTGGGCGTGTAGGAGTGCCCGGTCAGGTGAGGCACAGGTGATCAAGTCATGCAAGGTGAGGCAGTGTGGGAGGACCAGTCAGAAGCCTCACCCCATCTGCCTTCAACACCACCACTAACCCACACCACCGCTAACCCCCCCACACACACCACTTACTCCCACACACACCACTTACCCTCCCACACACACACCACTTACCCTCCCACACATACCACCAGGTTAGATCAGGTAAAGGTTAGCTTAGAACTAAGTGGAATCCAATAAGAATCCAAAAATTTTAATACATGAACATTTGTAAGATGGGAATTATTTATATTGGTAAACATTGGGGCCGGTGCTAAGTATAAACATTATATGAGAGAGAGAGAGAGAGAGAGAGAGAGAGAGAGAGAGAGGATATGTTATGCACCGTCATCGTTGTTGTCATCACGAGTTGTTGCCACCACATGAGCCAACAGTTTCCAGCATCACCTACACGTGCTGTATGACTTAGGTGGAGATGATTACTCGATATTTGGTGTGTGTGAGGGAGGAAGGGGTACAGCAGAGTCGTCACACACACACACACACACACACACACACACTCCTTATCTGAGTTACAATATTACTTACTAACTAAATTCCTCCAATGGCCAATGTTAGGAAAATGACAGTGACGCTCCAAGGACGTTTAGCTCTGTGGTTCTTGTTCGTTGTATCGTTTTAACATTTCTATTTCTGTCAGGTTGACTTTTTCTCGACATAAAAATAATAAGTAATATTCCCCCGATAACATTTTAAATTTTCTCTGGTGAAACTGTTTTTACGGTTGTGTGATGAACATAAGCTCCTCCTCCCCCCCTTCCAAGCATAGTTCACCTGATGATTGAACACTTACGTTACCTTGGGGTGGGGGGTCGGTTAGGTTTAGAATTAAAGGTAACTATAATACTGTCAGCGTATGGAGATGACTGGAGACGTGTATTACATAAACTACACGATACATTGTCAAGGCTGAATACATACACCCCATCTATGTCTTCCTCACATCACTATGAGCTTGGTGAGAGTGAGTGCCTGGTGAGAGGTAGGAAGGGACATGACTGTAGGAAGTGGTGAGAGGGGTGGTGGTGAGGGGGTGGTGAGGGGATGATGGTGGTGAGGGTGATGGTGATGAGGGGTGATGGTGGTGAGGTGATGGTGGTGAGGGTGATGGTGGTGGTGATGATGTTGAGGTGTTTCAGTGGTGAGGGTGATGGTGGTGAGGTGATGGTGATGAGGGTGGTGAGGGGGTGGTGAGGGGGTGGTGGTGGTGAGGGTGGTGGTGATGGTGGTGGTGAGGGTGAGGGTGATAGTGGTGGTTGAAGTGAGGGTGGTGGTGGTGGTGGTGGTGAGGGTGATGGTGGTGAGGGTGATGGTGAGGGGGTGGTGGTGGTGGTGAGGGGTGATGGTGGTGAGGGGGTGATGGTGGTGAGGGGGTGATGGTGGTGAGGGGGTGATGGTGGTGAGGGGTTGGTTGTAGTGAGGGAGAATGATGGTGGTAGTAAGGGGGGGGTAGTGGTGGTCAGTTTGACACACTTTCCTAGCCAACCAGACGATCACCCACAGCTTTGAACCTTCTGGTGGAAACCACCTGTACCACTCTTACTCCACCCACCCAACGATTTACTCCACTCACTCCACTCCTACAGTGATATCTAGGTAGTGCTATAGTCCCAAGGCATTTTATCCGCCATTTTCTGTTTGTGAGGCAGGTCGATGAGTTATCACATCTTCAGTTAAGGGAGAAATGGTCACCTGAGACATTGAAAGAATCTAAATTTATTTCCTGGTATTAACGAGTCACTTACCTGAATCACCACAAGTTAGGAGGAGGAGTTGTTTACCTGAGAACTACCTCCACACAACCACACACAGTACAGGTTGTGAGAGAGAGAGAGAGAGAGAGAGAGAGAGGCCACAAGCAGAGCCACACCCAGATAACAGGAGGGCCATCGACACCACCCTGGAGGACCTCACTACACCACGACCTCCTACAGGTACCTGAAGATAATGATAAACCACAATGAGTCCTGGGATTGGTCCTCCTCGCCTGGCTATTAAACACAGCTATTAATGAACTCCTATTGGTTAAAGATCTCTTCCATTCCTTCCCCTATTCATGAGCTATTAAACTCCTAGTGGATATTAACCTCTTCCAATCCTGTTAATTTTCACCCAATCCGTTTGGTTGTTCGTCCACTTCTCGAGGTATTCCTGTCTCGCGGGTTCCAGTCTTGCTTGGTTGGGGCTTTAAGTCTGAAGTCGATCCATTTGGGTAGGGGACAGGGAGGAGAGAGGGGATGGGGTAAGAGAGGGGAGAAAAAGGGGGATGAAGGAGGAGAAGAGGGTTAGAGGGAAAGGTGAGAGGAGAGGAGAGAGGGAGATGGGATAGGAGAGGAGGGGGGCAGGAAGGGGGGGGGGGGCAGGGGGCGGGGCAAGGCAGGACCAACAAGACCACTTCATTACCGTAATGGAAGAGTGATGTCACCAGGTGCGACAATTTTACCTGGGTCCGCCACGCCACCCTACCCCACGCCTCGCCACGAATACCGTCTCACCCACGCCCTTAAACATTACGTGGCGTTAGGGATACCAGGTGTAGCCAGGTAGAGAGATGAACGGGTGTAAGCGAAGCATTAGGGGTGACAGGTGTAGCCAGGTAGGGAGATGAACAGGTGTAAGCGAAGCATTAGGGGTGACAGGTGTAGCCAGGTAGGGAGATGAACGGGTGTAAGCGAAGCATTAGGGGTGACAGGTATAGCCAGGTAGAGATGAACGGGTGTAAGCAGAAGCATTAGGGGTGACAGGTGCCCAGCCAGGTAGGGAGATGAACAGGTGTAGCGAAGCATTAGGGGTGACCAGGTGTAGCCCGGGTAGAGAGATGGAGCAGGGTGTGAAGCATTAGGGGTGACAGGTGTAGCCAGGTAGGAGATGTGAACGGGTGTAAGCGAAGCATTAGGGTGACAGGTGTAGCCAGGTAGGGAGATGAACGGGTGTAAGCGAAGCATTAGGGTGACAGGTGTAGCCAGGTAGGGAGATGAACAGGTGTAAGCGAAGCATTAGGGGTGACAGGTGTAGCAGCCAGGTAGGGAGATGAACAGGTGTAGAAAAGCATTAGAGGGTGACAGGTATAGCCAGGTAGGAGATGAACAGGTGTAAGCAGAAGCATTAGGGGTGACAGGTGTAGCCAGGTGGGAGATGAACGGGTGTAAGCGAAGCATTAGGGGTGACAGGTGTAGCCAGGTAGGGAGATGAACAGGTGTAAGCGAAGCATTAGGGGTGACAGGTGTAGCCAGGTAGGGAGATGAACGGGTGTAAGCGAAGCATTAGGGGTGACAGGTATAGCCAGGTAGGGAGATGAACAGGTGTAAGCGAAGCATTAGGGGTGACAGGTATAGCCAGGTAGGGAGATGAACAGGTGATTCATCTGGGCACCAAAGCCACATTTATAGCCTTTTGTTCCCCTCACGCCCCTCCCCTCCCCCTCCCCCCTCATGTTAAACGTGAAGAGGGTGAGGTACAGAAACACAAAGAACCCAAGAGATGAAGTCAAAGAAAACGAAGTAAAAAGAGATTACGAGTTAAAAATTACAAACGAGCTAAAAATATAAGAAAGAGAGAGAAAAAATAAAGCTAAAATAATTCTAACATGTCGGTTTAAAATGGCAGTAGTTTTGTTTTCTCCAAGAGGCACAGTGTCTTAATACCTTATCTAAGAGGTGGTAGCATCTGGCGGTGTCTTCGAGGCGGTCACGGGTGTGGTGGAGGCGCTCTGTAAACTGTGTGAGGTGGAGGTGCAGCGCCCTGGCCAGCTCCCTCACACTGGTCTCCGTGTCCCCCGTCGTCGCCTCCTGCAGCAGCGACCCGCCCTTCTCCAGGTGTCGCTGTGGAAAGGAAGAATATACTTTGTAAGACACCTCCAGTATACCATGTGTCCCTTTCAGTATAATCTAAGTCACCTTCACTATGACTAATAATATTCCTTACATAACATTAGCAACAACTAAACTAATTACTAAGAAACCAATTCAACCATAATATTCTGTAGTATTCGACGATTTTAACTTTTCCATTAGAATTTCATCAATAAGTAGTTAACTGACGACTGTGCTGCTAAGGTTAAGTAAATACCTGTGATGAAGAGTTCTGACTGCCTGAAACTTCGTCCCTCTAACGCTAACCAACTTAAACCTAATCTAACCTAACAAACCCTAACGCTAACATCACCTAACCTAACAAACTCTAACGCTTACATAACCTAACCCCTAAGGTAGCGTCAGGGTGGTTAATCTTCAGGTGGAAAAAAATATAAGAGGGGGGACTTCGAGGTGTTTCAGGTGTACAATATTTACATATCACACCTAGGAGCTGTTATTCCACCCACAGAAGGAGGCTCATGTGACCAGGAAGGGCGGTGAGGAGTGGTAGATACTGTGGTGGACCCCGGCAGCGAGTTATAGTAGTGGGTCATGGTTAACAGTGAAGTCAGGTGAGTGGTGGGTGCAGGTGCCTGGTGGTGGTGGTGGTGGTAGCGATGGTGGTGGTGGTGGTAGTGATGGTGGTTGTAGCAGTATTGTGGTAGCGGACGTGTTGTTGACCCACCACCCTCTTACTCTTGTGTTATGAAGGCGTGGTGGTGGGTATGTTGGCTCTCCGCACACCCACGCCCACTCCGCCCTCTCAGTAGACGCCCACTCAGCCCTCTCCGTACACGCCACGCATTACCAACATAGCACACATGAGGAGTGATCGAGGCTGTGTGTGCTGGTCACGTAGTATGGCTGTTTTTACCTATATTTAGCACACCTTGACATACACTACTCACTTGCCTCTATAGTCACCTGCCATGGGTGAGGGAGGAGGGTCAGGAGGGAGGAGGGAGGTCAGGGGTGAGGGAGGGAGGAGGGAGGAGGGTGAGGAGGGAGGGAGGAGGGTCAGGAGGGAGGGAGGGAGGAGGTCAGGAGGGAGGGAGGGGAGGGAGGGAGGGAGGGAGGGAGGAGGGAGGGAGGGAGGAGGGTCAGGGGGTGAGGGAGGGAGGGAGGGAAAAGGGTCTGGGGTGAGGGAAGGAGAAGGTGTGAGGGAAGACTCGACCTGGCGAACACTCCCTCACGACCACAATCACTAGCCCACCAGGACCCTCCCTCACCTTCTCACGCCCTTAATTAATGGACACAGGTAAAGCTTACTTCCTCCTCACTGAGCCTCGTTCACCTGAGCTAAGATTCTCAAAGGTTCGTATGTAAACTTTCCAGATCAAATGAAGTATTGTGTCCCAGTTGACTTAACTTTTTTATTAACTACCCTAAACCTAATGTAACTTAACCTAACCAAATGTAACAACCAAATATAACCAAATCTAATGTAACCTAACCTTAACTAAATCTAACCTAAACTAACTTGACCTTACCTAACCTAATTACCCCCAGGTATCATTAAGGTGTATAATCATCAGGTGAAATAAGCTAGGGGGGGTTTATTCTTCATGTGATCCGACTATGTTTTCATGCATCACGAGATAAGAAAGAGCTCAAGGGATCACCAAATGACCACATAACAAAGAAGGTGGTCTGGGAGGGAGGGAGGCGCTTGAGCGGAGGGAGGGAAGTACTAGAGGGGAGGTCTGGTGTAGCAGGCATCACCACCACAAGCAGGAGATGGGTAGCAGGAGACATCATAAGCAGGAAGAGAACAGCAGGAGGCATCACCACCACAAGCAGGAGATATATTTTGTGGCTTTCGTCTGCAATTTCATATCCAAACTGACACGACCCTGGGCAGTGGTAAGGCCAGAATGATGGTGATGGTGGTGGTGGTGGTGATGGTGGTGGCCAAGATGGTGATAGTGGTGGCCAAGATGGTGATAGTGGTGGCCAAGATGGAGATGGTGGTGGCCAAGATGGTGATAGTGGTGCTTCAAGATGGTGGTGGTGGCAAGATAGTGGTGGTGGTGGACAAGATGGTGATAGTGGTAGCCAAGATGGTGATGGTGGTGGCCAAGATGGTGATGGTGGCGGCCAAGATGGTGATGGCCAAGATGGTGATAGTGGTGGCCAGGATGGAGATAGTGAGCAGGTTAGGTTAGATTGTATTAGGTTAGGTTAGGTTAGGCTAGATAAGGTTTGGTTAGATTAGGTTTGGTTAGGTTAGCGTTAGGATGGCTATATTACGCTTTATTAGGTCACCATTAGAGTGTTTAATCATCAGGTGAAATTAGCTGGGTAACCTAATCTTCAGGTGACCTCAAAAACTCTGTACACAGCGTCCCTTAACCAAGACATGACTCTATATCTACCTGTAGTGAAAGGTAAAACAAGACTGTACAAACGAAAAGCCTCGCCAAGAACCGGAGATATAACCCACAAAAGCAAACACTGTCAACTGAGGCCACTGAGTTGTTTACACTGCTGACAACATAAACAACACCATTCATGACGGCTTCTTGGACAACATTCAGAGCAAACTTGTGACGTGGGCTGAGAGAGGATGTCATATACACGTGTAACTGCAGGTGATATGTAGGCCAGGGAGGCAGGGGCGGAGGAGCAGGGGGGTGAAGAGCAGGGGCGGAGGGAGGCAGGGGGAAAGGGCAGGGGGCGGAGGGGGAGGCAGGGGGTGGAAGGGCAGGGGCGGAGGGTGGCAGGAAGCAGACACAACCTTAGAAAAAATGAGTTCAAGTAAAATTCAGGTAAACAAGTAAGTGTGTGTGTAAGATGGCAACCCCACACACACACACACATAAGACAAGCAGATGTTCAAGACTCATAACAGTGTCTGTCTGTCTGTCTGCCTCAATACTCATGCCTAAAAAACCTACAATAAATAACACTCCCTACAGGTTAAATTATGTTAAGTTTGTAAGGTTACGACCACAGAAGGAAGTCCAGCAACATCTATGACGTATTATAGTCTACGGTACTAGCTGGCAAATGACCACCTCCGGCCCCCCCCCCTACTCGTTAAACAGTCAAGAAGTCATCGGCTGATAGTAAATCCGAGATAATATAGAGGGAGGGGGAGCCGTGTCTACCCCTTACTTGGTCAATGGCTGAGAGAGAGAGAAGAGGAGAGAGAGAGTTATTTCTGACCAACATTGCCATCGTCCAATACACTGTTACTGCTACACCATTACCTCCCTCGCTACCAACACCATCACCACTACTACCACCGCCACCACTTCCTCCACGTAAACATAACAGTGCCATGAAACCTAACCACACCAAGAAGGCTGATTCACAACAACTCGTGAAAGAAAGAAAGAAAGAAAGAAAGAAAGAACTACATAAATTTTCCATCGTCAACTTCGTCACTTCACGAGTCATGTAAACAGAGAAACATCCACACAAATATTAATTATAAGGTGATCAGGTCAGGTTCTCAACAAGTGGTTCCAACAACACCTGACCATCTATCCAACACAGTTTTCTAAAAATCCGTAAACACAGCTTCAGTTTACTTTACCTGTGACCTGAGTGAGTGAGTGTGTGTGTTGCTTATTATAACTTATTAGTATTAGTATTATTTAACAGTGATAATTGTGTAAGCATACAAGGGTTAATACTGGATGAAGAGGAGGCGGATGAAATACTAAAACAAAAATTGTTCTCTTCCTCTACTACTTGTGTGTCAACCTCTAACGTAGACAGACAGACAGACAGACACTACTCACAGACACACACACACACCAGCCTGGTCGTCTTCTCTCAACTCCACCCAACAACGTCAGCTAGAGAAGGTACAGAAAAGGGCCTGCAGAATCATGCTCGGCGCAGACTACTCCGGCTACACCAACGCTCTCTCCACCCTGGAAATGCCATCCCTCAGTGACCTCCACCACCAAGCACTGGAAAGGTTTGGCAGTGGACTACTGTACCACCCTCGTCATCGCCACCTCCTGCAGCCCCCCACCCACCTCGCGCAGTCCGCCACAACAACAAAATACAGCCCATAAGAGCCTGCACCGATAGATATAAGAACAACACCATCCCATCTATTGTTAAAATAATAAACAACTCCTGATTTATGTTCTGTACAGCCCTGTAAATGTATTCAATGTATATTATATCATTATGTCTAAATCAAATGTAAGTCTGTATATTTTCAGCCACCGGCTGCAACTCTATTAATAAACCGTTTATTATTATTATTATTATTATTACACACACACACACACACACACTGTTCATTAAAGACCTGATTCGGTCTCTTGGGAACTAATATTGTTTTCACCCCAGCCACTTGGTCAACTAGAGTACTGTTCGCGCGAGTACTGTACATAAGCAACTGAGTACGTCTTCCTATATAACCAGAACCAACACTTGAGTACAGTCTGATGATATACAGGGTGTCCCAAATGTTTGTACTCATATTATACAGGGTGTCCCAAATGTTTGTACTCATATTATACAGGGTGTCCCAAATGTTTGTACTCATATTATACAGGGTGTCCCAAATGTTGTTATGGATAGCAGTTATTGTTTTCAGTTCCTTGCGTTTCATTCTGTTCCTTCATTCATTCCCATGTTCCGATCCTCTAAGCTTTATCCTGGTTTTCGGAGTGCTCACCCCCCCCCCCCAGCTCTATATTAAGCTTTCGTCATCTCTCTATTGTTTAGTTATGGGTGACTAGTGTATTTCATAACCTAACTCTAGCTTCAAATGTTGTTGTTGCAGCCAAGTCGACGGTCATTTATATAACCCTTGAAGAACCTGGAGGTAATGTTTGTTTACTTCCGGTTAATTATGGTCTCTCTCTCTCTCTCATCATTATAAACTCTTCCAGTATATTCAGGCCCATTGTATTTCTTCGTAATAATGAAAATCGTGAACTCTACCGCCTCCTCCTCCTCTCCCCACACAGGGATATTATATTCCTGTGGTCTATCCC